AAAAGCGCTAGCGTGCTTTAATATACAACACGCGATATCAACTGCACTGACAAACACTCCCGTAGCGGTGTGCGAAGGTCGGGTGACTGTAATTCGACCAATCAGAAGTGAGCTAGTGTGTATATGGGCTGTCGGTGGGGAGATTATCGTGGAAGTGACCGAAATGTGGACGAAATAGGGATTCGGCGGTCTTTTTTAATTATAAATAGAAGGTCTCTTAAGTATTTATTTTTACTGGTTATATTATTTCAGAAGATTGGCTCATAAACAGCATCTTGCCTCAGAGGCTGAAATATTTAAGCCATATCAAGCGCCATAATGGATTGGGAAAATAACAGAGGGCATGGTACCACAAACTAGGGACAGGGCCTACCAACACAAATATCGGCGCAGGATATAAGTCTTCTTCTTCTTCTTCGCGTTCATCAGCTGTAAACTCTGACGCAAGGTTCTGGTTGCTCGTCCACTACTAAACTGCAGTCCTGCTCCAGAACCCGAGTGTTGCGTGTGCATCAGTTTTACAGATCTCACTATCTTGAATACAAGACTGTTGGTTCCTTGCCTCTCCGGCAGCTGCACTCTGACTTCAAAGGAAGCTCCCCAATTAAGTCGACTCTTACGACGTGCTTTTGGGGAGGCAGTGGGTCTATTCTTGTTTTCCCCCACAATGGGGCCCCGGAACCCACACGGGGGTGGATATAAGTGATTCCTTGAAAATAAAAGTGCAAAAGAGCTGGCGAGAGACAAAATGTATTTTAGGCAGACTGATGAGAGCGATGTTCTACAAAGGACCTGCTACATGATGATATTATTTCAAGTACATAATATATGTTTGTAAGCATATAAGTATATAATATATTTATAAGTAGTAAAACAGGGAGCCACCGAGCTATACGCCCGCCTGCGGATCCGTAAGTCGTGCGCTCATTTCCCGACAGAGCCAGGCGTTTTTTTTTTTCTCTTTTTCAGAAATGACCTTGGCTTCATGATCGGCCCTGCCTTAAACGGGAGATAGGTAAATTCCGGAAAAGTAAAGGCAGAATGATGATGTTGGCCACGCTACCCACGGAGGGTCGATTGGTTTATAAAATGTAGTGAAGTTAAAAAAAAAAGTAAAGGACCATTTTTCACGCCTTTAGGCGTACAGGGCATATAGGGCTAGACCTATATTTTGTATACCAATCGGCAAAAGATGAGTGATGTGGTCAGCATCACGCCGGCCGCCTTTAATTTCCGGGAATGCACCCGGTACTCACTCAAGGCTAGGTCGACCTGGGAGCCAAGGTTATTTGTGAAAAAAGTTCGTCTCAGCCAGGGAGCAAACCCACGACCTTTCGATACGCAGACAAGCGCCTTGCCGCTTATAAAATATAGGTCTAGTACTAAATGCCCAATAGGTTAAAAGCGTAGAAACGGGGTCTGTTACTTTACAAGATATATATATATATTTGCCATTCAGCACAATATTTTAACTATTATTAATATTACGCACTAAAAAGGTGTTGATTGCTCGAAGACTTTCTAGAAAATGGGTAAGATGACCAAGTCCCACCCCAGCTCATTCGTAAGAAAAAAAAATGGTGGTGTGTGGGGTGGGGGGGGGGGGGATTCTTCCTGTACCGCGTTTACTGTTTCGTGTTTTCTCTCTGTCGACGCCCCTGACCCAACTCGCAACCCCCAATAGAAGTAGACTTGATTTACTTTCTGCCACCTGTGGCTGAACCCTACACCTGTGGCTCAGATGAAGTGGGCTCACATCATTCTCCGACAAGCTGGTCAACAACCGCCATCAATCACGGGTCCTCTCCAAGGCGAAGGTTGACTGCAGTGTAAAGGCTGATAAGAGACTCAATCGCTCGCTCTTCAGATCGTCCGAATCATGATGTTCCTAATGCTGAAGTGTTGAGCTAAGAACTGTCAACATAACACTGGGAGCATTCCCATAAGCGCTCTCTTCTCATCTTCAGCAGCCAGCAAAGAGTTCTAATTCCGATAGCGCCGGTAGCAGTCTGATTATATGATTACCTTGTCACTCCTAGTTGTACCATACTCTCTAGACTCTAGATCATAATGATCTATTTGTGCCTCTGCATTATTCACTTGCGCCCAAAGGGCGTTGACTACATCCTGCTTGTCAAGCATGCATTCACCACCGACTGGTGCAGAGCCAGCCAATCTGTCAGCCTGTTCATTTCCTAACACTCCTGAGAAAAGAGCCATGTTAGTGCCCAAATGTTTCATTGTCTACCCCTTGCCCTATGCCTTCAACTGTCTCCTCCACAAAGGTTTTCTTATAATATTATTGTCTTTAACGGGTTTTTAAACAGTACCACCTGTTTATTGTTTTTTCTTTCAACAATTCGCTGTTCATTCCCCAGTGACTAAACACCCCCTCCCTCCCATTCCACATTCATAAAATATTACCTTCTCTGTATATTCACATCAACAGGTAATAATCTTTGGACGAACAGCAGTCTGTGAGGCTGTTCAGCCAGAACAAAAGACAAGAGAGTGCTGGGAGTAATTGCAAACCACATTTTATGTGGAGACGGCACCTGATTGTTTAACTCCACTAGAACAGAATTTAGACTTGAGTTAGAATGAGAATGAAACACTTATGGGTTGCTACGCTTGTGTCATGATGTTTAAACAAACAAACAAACAAACACTGAAATATCAAAACGTGTGCCGTAGTTTGTCCCCAGTGAGGAAAAATCAAATTATAACTGCAGAAACGGAACAAATAACAGATTACTTATTCTTAGAGCGTAACAATCTGATGCGGGTATAGAAGTCAAGCTACATTAACTTCTGAAGATTATATTCATAGAAAGTGACAAAGATAGATTTATGGTAGGGTATCTCGATTTAACTCTTTGAGCACCCAGCAACTCCCTGACAATTTACGGATTACTTCCACGTGTGGGTTCCGGTGTCACCTGGGGGAGGGGGGGGGGAGTGGTGGGGAATAAGACACGAACTGCCCCAACAAGCATGTCGTAGGAGACGACTAATTAATGGAACACCTGAATCGAAACATTCCGTCTAGGATTACTTATGAAGAGTTTAAACGGGTTTTACCATCCAGGATAGGATTCTTGAAGTCTCAGGGGTGATCAATCCTTCAGGTGGCAGCTTGGACAGGACAAGCAGATGATGCCAGTAGTCATTTGAAAACAAAACAAAAAAAACGGATACAGAGGTTTTGAAGATAGGAGGAAAGAAGAAAGAACAGACACAAAAAATGGGAAGGGGGGTGGGGGGATACCAGTGAATATTTCGGCCACATTGACGCTCTTCCCGTGTGGGTTTCGGGTCCCATTGTGGGGTGGCGGTTGCTGATGATGATGACGTTTAACCCGACAGGACAACACACCGAGCGATAAACACTCTTTGAGGCAAAGTGCCACCATCCAAATGAGGATCACCAGAGGACAGGTCTCAGAAATCCAGTTTAACCCATAGGCTGCGTTATATTAGGGAACCCGGCAACATCCAGGGTGGGGCTATAATACAGCAACAAAATTACACAAGTCTTTGGGACGCAGAGTTTTATAAACATGGAGGTGGTTGAGTGGGAGGTGGAGTATAAACCCACTCCACCTCCCCACCTACCCCCTCCTTTCCCCCTTTTTTTCCCATGACAAGCAATGATACAAAACACATATGCACGTTGACAAGAAACTTAGAAATACGTTGACATGTTAAAAGTTATACAATAAACAAACCTGCAGTTATCAAGTTTTGCTAGAACTCCCATCTGTGGGCACCACTCAACACGAAATACCCCACAAACGCATACAAACATGGACTGCCCGGCAATTAGGCTAACTGTCAAACTCCTATCGTCATCACAGCCAGGCAGGGAAATGAGATAAACTGTAAAGGGAGATAACCAGCAGTATGAGATGGCTTCCCCTTAACCGCCGTAGCAAACATTATCTGTTGAAAGTCAGTTGTGCTGAAAGACTGTTGAAAGTTTAACTAGAGTGGACGGCGGAGAAATCAGGGTTATAGGCCGAAGAAGTAATGTTTATAAGTTCAAATCCTATCTTATAGTAGATAATTATGGCAGGTTGTTTTGGCAATTCGGTAAGGGTATCAGGTCTTTCTGTCCGTGTATGTGGCTTAAGCGTTGTGTACATCCTTTTCAAATATCGGGGTGCCGGATTCGATTACAGCTGCAGACAGTTTGTCATGCTTTGATTTCGACAGTGGTACCGAGAACTGACCGGTGAGAAAGTAATGGCAAACTACTGAACGTAAAAGTGTGCCTACAGATACCACAACAGCCAAAAAAATTATTGGGTTGGTTTTGCAGCGTCATGTAAAGGATTCGCAACTAACTTTTTATGTCAAGTCTGACATTCCAAACCGTATATTCCTTCATTTTTCATGTTTTCCTCCTCTAAGCCGGTTCACTGAAATATTGGTTCTTTTTGATTACTTATCCAAAAGATGCTGTATGATTTGTTGTTAAAAGAGGTCATATTTAAGTTGTATGATTTAAAACAGTGTTCCTCGACCATTTGACACCCGCGGCCCACCAAAACCAGGTCATTTGTCTGGCGGTTTAGCTCTGAAAGAAACGTTGGCAGAGTTGATGCGATCAAAGGAGACAGACCCAAATATAGCAGTTTTCTAATCTATAACTAGCAGCGGGTATCGCACTGGCCGGGAAAAAAAAAGCTATTGGGTGTCAATGGATTGAACAAATACACTGTCGTTTACATTTATTCTTGTTTCTCTGTTTTTGGTCATCTGGAATAAGGAACAAGACTAAAGTTCAGAACTGGACGTCACCCGGAACTGTCCAAAGGAGTTTATAGCCGGTGAACGCGAAAAAGAAGAAGGAGAAGGAGAAGAAGAAGAAGAAGAAGAAGACGAAGAAGAAGAAGAAGAAGAAGAAGAAGAAGAAGAAGAAGAAGAAGAAGACAAAGAAGAAGAAAACTACCAGCACTAACTAAAGCAACAACAAACACAACAATAACACAACCGACCTGGGACAAATTTAGCTGGTTCAGGGGTATACACTGCTCTTCCACCCGTTCCACAGCCCCTGTCACTTTCCCCTCCCGCTCTGCCTGCTGCGCCAGGTAGAGGTCAAGGACTGGTATTCCACGAGATTTGACCTCGGACTCAGTGAGAGAGTTGACCATCAGCATCACCCAGACTGGCCTTTTGCGGCGCCAGTTACCTGCAGAATTAGGATACGCGTGTAGCTGTGGTTCGTCGAGCAGTGATTAGTTAGTGCAGTCGATAATTTCATGCCAGGGGAGGCGAGGGGAGGGGAGGGGGGGGGGGGGGGCAACGGTTAATTGTAAGAAGAAAAAAAGCAGAGAAATTATAATCGTCATTTTTCGACAGTGGCACTGAGTCACACCGAGATAGATTACAAGGACCTTATATTTCTAATTGTGGAGACGGCACACACATACCACACACACCACACACCACACAGTTAGTTCTTCTTTTTCTGCTTTACGTTCCCCATTATGGAGACAACAAGAATAGACTCAGTGCCTTCCCAAAAAGCATGTCATAAGAATCGATCGACTAGCTGGGGGGTTCATTCATGTCGCAGTGTATCTGCCTGAGACGCAAGAAATCAACAATCTGCATACAATAAAGCGAGATCTGTTAAACGTATGCGCACGCAACACTTAGGTTCTGGAATCAGACTAAGCTCCACAGGTGAACGAAAAACCAGAACTTTCCGCCAGAGTTTACAGCCGGTGAACACGAAGAAGAAGAAGAAGAAGAAGAAGAAGAAGAAGAAGAAGAAGAAGAAGAAGAAGAAGAAGAAGAAGAAGAAGAAGAAGAAGAAGAAATAAGTCACGGTTGCCAGCCGCCATTGTTGAAATGGCACACACACACACACACACACACACACACACACACACACAAACACACACACACACACGCGCGCAAGCACACACACACACAAACTCCACAGGGAAAGTTCAGTAATCTGTACATCTTTTCCCTTATCATCATTATAATCATGTAGCAGGTCCTTTGCAGAACGTCGCTCTCATCACGGTCTGCCTGAAAGAAACTCGGCCTCTCGCCAGCTTTCCCGCCTCATGTTCTTTCCTACTCAAGTAGTCACTTATATCCTGTGCCCATCTTCGTGTCGGTCGCCCCCTGCCCCTCCTTCTTGGTACCAACCAACCCTTCTGCTATTATTTCAGCCTCCGAGACATGACGCTGTTTATTAGCCAATCTTCCTTGATGTTCAGATCTGTCAGGATGTCAGTACTTCTCCTCTTTGTCCAAGTTGTTCTGAGAATCCCCACCCCTCCACAATATTCAAATCGTGAAAAATGTCAGTGTTAGGCCTCTTTGTGTTTCATAATACTCATAAAATTGCTAATGGCAGTGTCTAATTATGTAATCATCATCTCCTTTCGACAACCACGATCAAAACGATGAAACGCAAGAAGAATCTCACACCTGTAATGGCGTTAAACAGATAGTCTGCGAACAACCCCTTCCGTTTCTGGTCGTCGCTCATCCAGGATTGCATGCTGGTCCGGACATATTCAAGATGGCGCTGCAGACGGGAGTAAAGTTCTTCCGGAAGTAAATTTGACAAGCTCTCACCTGCAAAAACATATCAATACAGGGGGATATCGTGAAAACAACATATACATGGCGTTTTACCACCAGTAAAATTACAATTAATGTCTTGTCTCAGGTAAAACATATAGCTAACACTTTGCCACGGGTACAGCGTAGACCTAACATTTTTATACCAGTACAGCGTTTAGCTAACAATACAAGTACAGCATATAATCTTCACCACATATACAAGACAATTTTTCACAGGTACAGCGTATAGCTAAGACTTTACCATAATGTGTCGCATAAGTTCAGCGTATGTCTAACACGCTTTCAAAAATTCCCTTGCCTCCCAAGTCGACCCAGCATTGAGTGTGTAAAAGGCGCAGTCCTGGGAAGTAAAGGCGGTCGACGTGATTGTAACCACATCGCCCACCAAGTGGCTGTTGGCCTATAAAATATAGGTCTAGCCCTATATGCCCAATACGCTAAAAACGTATAACTAAAACTTTGCCACAGGTACACCTTTTAACTAACAATTACCACATGTAGAACGTATAACTAAAAATTTGCCACAGGTACACCTTATAACTAACAATTACCATATGTAGAACTTATAACTAAAACTTTGCCACAGGTATACCTTATAACTAACAATTACCACATGTAGAACGTATAACTAAAACTTTGCCACTGGTACACCTTATAACTAACAATTACCACATGTAGAACTTATAACTAAAACTTTGCCATAGGTACACCTTATAACTAGCAATTACCACATGTAGAACTTATAACTAAAAATTTGCCACAAGTATACCTTATAACTAACAATTACTATACGTAGAACGTATAACTAAAACTTTGCCATACGTACACCTTATAACTAACAATTACCACATGTAGAACGTATAACTAAAACTTTGCCACAGGTACACCTTATAACTAACAATTACCATTTGTAGAACGTATAACTAAAACAGTAACTTATTATACAGTTCCTCATGTTGTGACGACCCTTAATACAGTTCATCATGTTGTGGCGACCCTTTAATACAGTTCCTCATGTTGTACCACATGTAGAACGTATAACTATGCTAATAAGTATGTTAACTCTGGGTTCATGGTGCTAGACTAGTGGTTCTCAACCTTCCTTATGCCGTGACCCTTTAATCCAGTTCCTCATGTTGTGGTGACCCTTTAATCCAGTTCCTCATGTTGTGGTGACCCTTTAATCCAGTTCCTCATTCTGTGGCCACCCTTTAATACAGTTCCTCATGTTGTGGTGACCCTTTAATACAGTTCCCTCATGTTGTGGCGACCCTTTAATACAGTTCCTCATGTTGTGGCGACCCTTTAATACAGTTCCCTCATGTTGTGGCGACCCTTTAATACAGTTCCTCATGTCGTGGCGACCCTTTAATACACTTCCTCATGTTGTGGCGAACCTTTAATCCAGTTCCTAATGTTGTGGTAACCCTTTAATCAAGTTCCTCATGTTGTGGTGACCCTTTAATCCAGTTCCTCATTCTGTGGCGACCCTTTAATACAGTTTATCATGTTGTGGCGACCCTTTAATACAGTTCCCTCATGTTGTGGCGACCCTTTAATACTGTTCCTCATGTTGTGGCGACCCTTTAATACAGTTCCTCATGTTGTGGCGAACCTTTAATCCAGTTCCTCATGTTGTGGTGACCCTTTAATCCAGTTCCTCATTCTGTGGCGACCCTTTAATACAGTTCCTCATGTTGTGGCGACCCTTTAATACAGTTCCCTCATGTTGTGGCGACCCTTTAATGCAGTTCCTCATGTCGTGGCGAATCTTTAATACAGTTCCTCATGTTGTGGCGAACCTTTAATACAGTTCCTCATGATGTGGCGACCCTTTAATTAAGTTCCTCATGTTGTAGTGACCCTTTAATCCAGTTCCTCATTCTGTGGCGACCCTTTAGTACAGTTCCTCATGTTGTGGCGACCCTTTAATACAGTTCCCTCATGTTGTGGCGAACCTTTAATACAGTTCCTCATGTTGTGGCGAACCTCTAATACAGTTCCTCATGTTGTGGCGACCCTTCAATACAGTTCCTCATGTTGTAGCGACCCTTAATACAGTTCCTCATGTTGTAGCGACCCTTAATACAGTTCCTCGTGTTGTGGCGACCCTTTAATACAGTTCCCTCATGTTGTGGCGACCATTTAATACAGTTCCTCATTCTGTGGCGACCCTTTAATACAGTTCCTCATGTTGTGGCGACCCTTTAATACAGTTCCTCATGTTGTGGCGACCCTTATTACAGTTCCTCATGTTGTGGCGACCCTTTAATACAGTTTCTCATGTTCTAGCGATTCCGTAGCTATATTGTTATTTTCGTTGCTTCTTCCGAACTTCAATAAACATTTGTTTTGAGATGGTCTTTGTCGACCCATGAGAAAGGGTCGCCTGACCCCCCAAAAAATGGTCGCCAACAATAGGTTGAGAACCGCTGTGCTAGATTCATAATTGTATTATATTATTGAATTATAGGCCCATTAGCAGGTCTACTCTATCGGTGGTACGGTCAACGTCACGCCAGTCGTTTTTACTTCCATGCGCATATCCTGGTACCTGTTTACGGCTGGGTCGACCTAGGAGCCTAAGCTAGTTGATTCCCCGTCCCCCGCCACAAATCCACTGGACCTGGATTCGAACCAACAACCTTCAAGCTGATAGACTAGCGTTTAGGCGCTACACTGCCTCAGCTTTACATGACAAGCAGACATCGAGCTAAATAGAAAATTATGAAGGGCTTGAAATGAAGAGGTTAAAAGTGTAATATAAATTACAGTAACCCTGTCATTGTAGTCTATCAATTATCAATATTGCTTGTTAAGGATGTCAAGAGTGTTGAGCACGCGACATCACGTTGCAGACGTCATACACACCACATCATTCACGACGTGATCTATGATGTGATGCAGTGCCGCAAAGTGTCTGCAGTCTAGGTCCCACGGCAGCTTTTTCAGAATTAAAATAACGTGAAATAACGACGCATTGATGCTTGCCAAGAACTATTACTGTGCTCTGAAGAACGAGGTGATGGTTTCCAATCAAAAATTGTTACTGGTAACACGCCAAAGCCTTTGACAGCATACACCGCCCTACACTCTGGAAGCTACTCACAATCTATGGTTTCCAAGATAAATATGTCAATATTATAAAGGCCTTCTACACCGATTCCCGCTGCCTTGTTAGAGCGGAATCTGGTAACTCTGGTTCCCAGTAGAAACAGGCGTGAAACAAAGATGTGTCTTGTCACCGATGCTTTTCGGAATAGCACTCGATTGGGTCATGCGCAAATGCACACAGGACACACATCTAGGCATCAAATGGGTCGACAAAGTTCTCGAAGATCTTGACTTTGCTGACGACCTAGCACTCCTGAGCACAACACATCTAGAAGCTCAGGAAAAAATGGACCGCCTCCAGAATATTTCAAGCCAAATCGGCCTTCAGGTCAACGCAGCCAAAACGAAAATCATCGATCTTACCAACGAGTCGAAAGACATCAAACTAAAGGATATTGTTCTTGAAAAAATCACCAGCTTCACATACTTAGGGAGCAAGATAACCTCTGCGGGAGATACAACATCAGAAATAACGACTCGAATCGCGTTAGCATCAAGTGCCTTTAACAAACTGTCAAACATTTGGAAGTCAAGATCACTCAGCAACAACACGAAACTTAAGGTCTTCAATTCCTGTGTGATCCCAGTGCTAACTTATGGTTGTGAGAGTTGGAAATCATCAGTATCAATCGATAAGAAACTAGTCGCTTTCGAGAATAGATGCCTCCGAAAGCTATTGAATGTTCACTGGTCGGACTTTAGGTCCAATACATCTATAAGACAGGAAACAAAACAAAAATATGTGTCTGATTTTATTAGAATGCGTCGCTGGAATTACATCGGTCACGTACTCAGAATGGACATACAGAGACTTCCCCACCAAGCCTTCATATGGTCACCAAAGGGTAAAAGAAAACAGGGAAGACCAAAAGAAACCCTCCGTAGAACCATCACAAGGGAGAGCTCAACCATAGGTCTCAGTCGCACTCAAGACCTACATCAAGTGGCAAAGAACCGACAGACGTGGAAAGCTATGACCTCTGCCCTATGCGCCATCTTTGGCACAAGAGGAATAACTAACTAACTAACACGTCAAAACGGGAAAAGAACTCACCGGTAGGCAACACCTGGCACTCTGCAAGGGCAGTCAATGTGTATGGGTTTGTGAGGTCCAGCTCAAAGATGGCGCTGTCGCTTTCTGTAAATGCCAGCTTGCTGTTGGGGGGGATCCACTCCCAGACGCGGGTGTAAGGGACGTGGATCGTTCCAAAGAGGTAGGCCGGCGGTGAGCGTTGTACAGTCCACAGAAAAGAATTGATACCTCTTTCCTGAAGTGAGAGAAATTGATGTTTTTCAGAAGTGTGATTACAAAATAACAATGCTTTACTATGTGCAAACAATAACAAGAACACAAAACCCGATTTGATCAACAATGCTAGAAACCTAATATTGTCGCTACTGCATTTTCCTCTGAAGAAGCGGCATTCTCTCTCTTCCGCGCTCTCTCTCTCTCTCTCTCTCTCTCTCTCTCTCTCTCTCTCTCTCTCTCTCTCTCTCTCTCTCTCTCTGCTTCTGCCCCTCCCCTGTTTGTACGATAACTTTTCTAGAGCAAAATTTTCACAAAAGACGTCTTATAACGTGTCCCTTACCCTCTTAGTTCTCCAAAATAATAACCACTCAGAAAAACAATTTGATCAACTTATTTATCATGAAGAAGAAGGGATAAACGGCATTCAAAAAGGAGAATAAATACCAGAAATGTTGGGCAACCGCTTATAGCAACAGCTATTAAAAAACAAAAGTGGCGATATATTTAGGAAGGTAAAGTCAGGAGAGGTGAACCAGCGTCACTGCACGCGATTATAAACTATAAGTACTCTGCCACCAGTACGGACAGCTGATAAGAAACTATCCTCCTGTCGCTATCCGCACAAAACTCCGTAGCTACATCGACGTTCTTCCATTTACCCCAGAGTGTTAACTCTAGTTCGCATTACCTAGAGGCTGGGTGATCCCCGGGAACCGCCCGGTTTCGATTACCAGCCGTGGGCTGCAACGAGCGAGTCACAGATGGTTTTGAAAGCGAGTCTCCTGTCGACTGCGCTAACACGGCCCTACACTGGCTGTATATTTACTGAACACAACATGAGAAGCTAAATGAGAACCAGCAAAGAGGCACTGAAAGTAGACATCGATGGATTGAGAAAAGCTGGAGGTCTCAAAAAAAAAAAAAAAAAATTAAGGCAGCCATTGTTAAGAGATGCCAAAGGTGCCAGACTGGATTCCGTCTACGAAGGATTGTACAGGACAGTATGGAATATTCCCGAGTGAGTTCCGGGACAAAGGGGGGGGGGGGGGGGGGGGTGTGAGGTGGTAGACTCTCAGGCCCGGTAACACGCATGTGGTAAAAGGCGACTAAATAAGGGATGATTCCTTTGAAGTGAGAGTGCGTCTGCATGAGAAGCGATAAACCGATTCTGTATATAAATAACTAAGTTCTTTGAAACGGATGTGCACGCAAAACTCATGTTTCGGAACAAAACGAAACTTCAACAATGGACGAGCAACCAAAACTTTCCCGGAATGGAGGCAAAGATTGTTAGCACGGTATGATGTATAAATTGCACAGCAAGATGATGATGATGACAAGCGTGGGTTGTTGGGATAAGCAACATTAGACAGCTCAAGGTCTGTCCAGACAAGAAACAGCCCCGACAACTGGACAAGACAATGGAGGCAGAATAATACAAGATTAGTTTACTTCTCCTGGACAGTTGCTTGCACCTTGACCCGTAGGACCCGGCGGTGACCTCTGGTGATGGATTTTAATGACAGATTGGTAACGTCTGCAAAGAGGCTAAGCGGAAAGTCGCGGCCATAGTGGCCAAGGTTAATTAATTATAGAGGTAAAGGATGGACTGGGTGGTGTTATTAATTAGAAGGCAAGCGAATTTTTAAAATAATGAATTATAGTTTGGAGAAAGCAAGGATGCAACTCACTACTTTATTTTTAATTCATCCCAAACAAAGAAAATCCCGGGGGTTTCTGAGAAAATCCAATATCCCAGAGATGTTATGGGTTGGGGTTAGCGTTAGGGTTAGGATCTTTGCCGGCAGTGACCGCCTCAGAAACATCGATAAACTCTATTCATAATCATAAATCTAAACATAACTTTAACCCCTAACCTCCAACCCATAACACCTCTAGAATATTGGACTTTCTCCGGAACTTCAGGACACCTTTTTTGGGGGCGAATTTAAAATTAAAGTACCTACAACTCTCTCTCTCTCTCTCTCTCTCTCTCTCTCTCTCTCTCTCTCTCTCTCCCTCTCTCTCTCTCTCTCTCTCTCTCTCTCTCCCTCTCGCATTTACAATCTCTAAGCCCTAACAGATGTCGCATGAGCTGGAATTTTGTGACATCCGATTTTATCAATAAAATGCAATGTACATTTTTTTGTAGGCGAAACAAATCCCCCTGTTTTGGATGTCCCGGGATGTGAAAAGTTTGAAGATCACTGTCTAGGTGACATTTTTATTTATTTAGAAATCAAAATCGTTTGATCTGCATCCAATTTGAGGTGGTTCATAAGTATTTCTGTGAGTGCCCATCCATACATTATCTGTTTGTTTATATGATATATCTCTACAGCTTCAAAGTTTCCACCCTCTGTTTATTTAAAGGTATTAAATATTCCCGCAAATTAAGCATGGTCCTCTCCGTGTGGATTCCGGGGCCCTACTGTGGGGGGAGGTCAAGAATAGACCCACTGCCTACCGAAAAGAATGTCTTTGGGAGCTTCCTTCGAAGTTGGAGTGCATCTGCCTGAGAGACAAGGAACCAAAAGTCTGCATACAAATGAGTCAGATCTGTGAAACGGGTGTACATGCAACACTCAGGCTCTGAAACTGGAATAGAGTCCAGAAATTGACTAACCATCAGAACTCTCCTCCAAAGTTTATAGTTGGTGAACGCGAAGAAGGAGAAGTATGATCTTATTCTTTTGCTAAATAATAATAATAATAATAATAATAATAATAATAATAATAATAATAATAATAATAATAATAATAATAGTAATAATAAAATCTTACGAGCTTATTTTGGGGAAATATTTGGGTATTTACAAATACTTAATTGTAATTCAGATTATATTTTATTTAAAGCATTAATGTCAGTAATATTATTTATTGATATTCAACTATGCGTTTATTCTTTTATAATTCGATGCGTCGACCGTGCGTTTCCAGACGAATAAAAAACGCCCGTCTGGCTGGCAATCTTTACAAGGAATTAAATTTAGTGTGGGACTAACACTGCATTCTGGAAAATCATGGTGCTTCTTTGTTCGGGTTAGATCTGATTTTTTTTTTTTAGAACACCAAACATCTACCTCTTACGTATCTGCTTTTAAGGGTTTTGCTACGGAATGCAACATTTCTTCTTCTTCTTCTTCTTCTTCTTCTTCTTCTTCTTCTTCTTCTTCTTCTTCTTTTTCTTTATTCCTTCTTCTTCTTCTTCTTCTTCTTCTTCTTCTTCTTTCTTCTTCTTCTTCTTCTTCTTCTTCTTCTTCTTCTTCTTCTTCTTCTTCTTCTTCTTCTTTCTTCTTCTTCTTCTCTTCTTCTTCTTCTTCTTTCTTCTTCTTCTTCTTCTTCTTCTCTTCTTCTTCTTCTTCTCTCTTCTTCTTCTTCTCTTCTTCTTCTTCTTTCTTCTTCTTCTTCTCTTCTTCTTCTTCTTCTTCTCTTCTTCTTCTTCTTCTTCTTCTTCTTCTTCTTCTTCTTCTTCTTCTTCTTCTTCTTCTTCTTCTTCTTCTTCTTCTTCTTTCTTCTTCTTCTTCTTCTTCTTCTTCTTTTTCTTCTTCTTCTTTTACTTCTTCTTCTTCTTCTTCTTCTTCTTCTTCTTCTTCTTCTCTTCTTCTTCTTCTTCTTCTTCTTCTTCTTCTTCTTCTTCTTTCTTCTCTTCTTCTTCTTCTTCTTACTTCTTCTTCTTTCTTCTTCTTCTTCTTCTTTTTCTTTCTTCTTCTTCTTCTTCTTCTTCTTCTTCTTCTTCTTCTTCTTCTTCTTCTTCTTCTCTTCTTCTTCTTCTTCTTCTTCTTCTTCTTCTTCTTCTTCTTCTTTTTCTTCTTCTTCTTTTTTCTTCTTCTTCTTTTTCTTCTTCTTCTTCTTCTTCTTCTCTTCTTCTTCTTCTTCTTCTTCTTCTTCTTCTTGCTTCTTCTTCTCTTCTTCTTCTTCTCTTCTTCTTCTTCTTTCTTCTTCTTCTTCTTCTTCTTCTTCTTCTTCTTCTTCTTCTTCTTCTTCTTCTTCTTCTTCTTCTCTTCTTCTTCTTTCTTCTTCTTCTTCTTCTTCTTCTTCTTTCTTCTTCTTCTTCTTCTTCTTCTTTCTTCTTTCTTCTTCTTCTTCTTCTTCTTCTTCTTCTTTCTTCTCTTCTTCTTCTTTCTTCTTCTTCTTCTTCTTCTTTCTTTTTCTTCTTCTTCTTCTTCTTCTTCTCTTCTTCTTCTTCTTCTTCTTCTTCTTTCATTCTTCTTCTTCTTCTTCTTCTTCTTCTTCTTCTTCTTCTTCTTCTTCTTCTCTTCTTCTTCTTCTTTCTTCTTCTTCTTCTTCTTTCTTCTTTCTTCTTCTTTTTTTCTTTTCTTTTCTTCTTTCTTCTTCTTTCAATCATTTACCTCAGCGGGGTGGGGGTGGGGGGGGGGGGGGAGATGTAAGGATTGTTTGTGCACTTTTTCCAATGCATTCTACAAGTTGGTGTTCATTTCAGTTAGGTTTCTCCTGATGATGTCGCTCCATATCTTGCGTGGTCTTCCCCTTGCTCTGTGCTCATTATATTTCTTCAGCGTGGCTCTCTGTGGCAGTTGGTACCAGGGCATTCTCATCAGGTGGCCAGACCATCTCATTTGTTGTTCTCTATTTAATTGTATGACTGGTTTCAGTTCTAGTCTTCTTCTAATTTCTCTATTCAAGATTTTTATCTCTTTCAGTCACACCGGCTTCTCACCCAAGACAACTCATCTCTTTTGTTACAATCTTTCGCTCATTGGTTGTAGTGAGGGTCCATGTTTGGCGCTGGTAGCACAATGTCGGCCAAATCAAAAACAGCCAAAAAATGCTGGGTTGGGTTCTGCAACGTACGTCCTGTAAAGGATACGCAACTTATTTTTAATAACGGGTGTATATTGTTTGTGTGCTCATAATTATTTACATGCATAATTACCTCTCTCTCTCTGTGTTTATATTGCTTGGTATTTCATGTACAATATAGTTTTGTTGTTGTTCATGTCGCGTTTTCTGTTTCTATATGTTTTATTTCTCTTTTCAGTATAGCCTGGAC